TTGTGTTTCAGAAGTGGGACTATAAACAGTTATAATCTGCGAGTATCTGTGTGATGAGGTTTAGAATGGTTTGGCCGGAAGGGATAACACCCTGAGCCACTTTGGCACTGTCTCACTGACTACCAATATGGTCGAGCTCAGTGTTTCACACTGGAGATCAACAGAGTAAAGAAATCAAAGAGGGAATGAAGGAGTAGAAATAATTGTAAATAGGTTGAGGTGAAGTTAGAGGAAAGATTAAAATATGCAATGAAATATAGGAGGAGAAAAATCAGATTAGAGGGATATAGCAAAGCCAAGGAACACAGGGAGGAAAGTAATGACCTAACTTCTAAGTAAGAAAGAGAGAAGAAAAATTAAACAAAAAAGAAAGAAGAAAAAATATACATATACATAAAAATTAGATCAATTATGTATGTATGAAGTAATAATACTAAAATTAGGAATACTAACATTGTGCACTATGGAATTGAGTGATCAACTTATACTCTGAATTAAGTCTATACACAGTTATGGAGAAAGTCTAGTGGTCACCGTAGGATGTGTATCCAGTTGTGAACAGAAGAGCAATGAGGAAGGAAACAACAAAAACAAAACAGGATTGTTGCAAAAAGAAAACAAAGCTAAAAACAAAAACACAAAAATACTGACAGAAAAAAAAAGATACCAGAGAGTTAAACTAGTTGCAAAAAAACAAGAGAAGTAGAAAAAAAATTAAAGAACTTAAAAAGAATAAAGAAAAATTAAAAAAAATAATTGGGGAAAAATAAAAGACAAAAAAGTATCTTCAATTTATTTGGAGGACTCTTATGTCTCTCCTAAGTCTGCTTTCCAGTCCCTCGATGGCGTCTTTGATCTGCTGGTAGAGGTTGGTTTTCCCTGTTGCTTGGTTGGTTTCTCAAATCAGCTTGTTTGAGGGCGCAGAAAAAAGTTCTGCTTTACAGGCTTGGGGACTTTGCCACCTTCTTCCCAGACTAAAAAGCACAATCTGCTTTGTTTGTTTGTCTGTTTGTTAGTGCTGCCAGGAGGAGGTGGTTGGAGACTGTAGTTTGTTGCAGTTGGGACTGAGTTTGGGCGTGGTGGAGTTTTGGCCTGTCTGGAGTCAGTGGTATTTCCAAAGTGGGAAGACCCCTTTTGGCCTCTAACCTGGATCCTTTCTCAGCTTTTATAGCCTGTCCAGTTTTTATGTATTTATTTTTAGTGAATTTTAGTAAGATTCCTGCAGCTGACTGCATTGCCAGTTCGGCTGTGGTATGGGTGGACTTCCTTTGTGGCCTGCAGGGAGCGTGGCTGCCTCTCTGGGATCTGCAGGTAGTGAAGGTTGATCCTCCCTGGTCCTGTGAGGAGTTCCCCACCTCCTGGGCAGGACAGCATTCCCCTGGCTGAACTGACTCTTACAGGTCCAGATCCTTGCCCTGGACAAAAATGGTGTTGCCTACTGCTTTTGTGTCCCGAGTTATCTGCTAGCTGTTATGGTGGAGTCTATGCCAGTATCAAATATAGTGATCTTCTCTGGTGGTGCAGGGGGTAGGGGCTGGGCCTGCCTTCCTTGGGTTGTTCTGTGGGAAGGATTGGGGATATTCACAGTTTTCCTTTTTGGCCAACCTGATCTATATCTGACAGTAGCCAGCAGGATGTGGAATTCCACTCCTGATCCCTCCAGTTTGAGCTGGAGGAGTTGGGTGAAGAGATGCACACCCTTGGTCTCTGGCTGGTCCCACAGCAGGTGCTCAAGGCTGCCACAGCCACCTGTACTCAAATTTGTCTTATGGTGAAAACTGCCTGAATTTTTTTTCACTATACAGAGTCTCTGTACTATTGCAGGTCACTAGGTGTGATTTTCCCATAGTGAATTATTCACTGAACTGCAAAAACTGGTTTCTTGGGGAGAGATCACATATAGCCCAGCTACACTCTACCATCTTTCCCCGGTCTCTTGAACTGTGCTTTTCCCCCCTAGCTTTTACAAAATGATAAAAAACATTTTGGGGGGTACAAATAAGAATGGATTATTTCAATTAACATCATTAATGATCTCTAGTTCTATACTTTCTAAGAAATGATGTATTTTCATTGTTCTGAAAGGCCGAGTAAAACTCCATTATGCATATGCATCACATTTTCTTTATTCATTCATTGAAGGGCACCTTGGCTGATTTCATAATTTGGCTACTGCAAAAAGTTCTACAATAAACATGAATATATAGGGTTTTCTACAATAAGTTTACTTTGATCATTTTGGTATATGTTCAGAAGAATTAGGATGCATCTAATTAAATAAACATTTAAAATACATTACCTATTAGGGTCTGCATACTTTTACAGAAATAATATTTAATATCTTCTATGTTCTTTACATCTCTTTAGATGGATGTCCATCAAATCAGGGGGTTGAGGGTGGCTTACCAAGAGATTAGACTGTGAGATCCCAATAGTCAATACCCACAGAGACACACACACAAAAATAAGAAGTGTCAAAAACAACCTTAAATAAATTAATAGCACTAATCATAAGTAACAATAGATAATAATAATAATGTTGAGAGAGAGACACAATTGTTGGGTTATTTTTCCTTTCTCCTTTCTTTCCTTTTTCCCTTGCTCCTTCCTTCCTACCTTTCCTCCTATGCTTTCTTCCTTTTTCATTTCTTTTTGTTGTTTGATGCATGTGTCTGTTTCAGAGAATTAAGTCAAGAGCCTTGCACATGTCATAAAATTTCTCTACCACTGAGCTACACTTTAAGGTCCTTAGTTCAGTTTATTGAACTATGTTTGTAATCCCCAAATAACTGCATAAGGTAGAAGGCAGAAGCCTGAGAAGGGTACAATTCATTCACTACCATGTCCTTAGCATCTTCCATATATAAGACACTATGTTAAAACACGGAGAGATGCACGATTTATGAAGTAGCATTCCAAATTCATATCAGGCATCTTTTTTTCTAAACCACAAGAACAAACTTGTAAAATCAATATATGACTATTTCAAACCTTCATAATATTAAGCAGTACAGAAAGAGTCCAACAATTCCATCCCTTGATACTATATGGCTTTGAATCACTAAGTGATAGGTAGTCATGGAAAGTTTTCTATTAAAAATTCTTGTGTATTCCAATTAACCTAAACTGAAGCAGGTGAATATTTATTTATTCTTGTGTTTTACAGAAAAGGCTTTATAGGAATCACTTTTTTTTAGTGTTTTCTATCCTTAATTTCCACATCAGTTCTATTTTTGTTTATTCCTACGCGTGTGCTTTTTATGAACAGACATAATTTACTCAATAGTCTCAGTTTCCAGCCTTTTAGTAACATTGTTCAAGGTCATCACGGCTCCATTCCCATCAATCATGTGCTCTTCACAGATTTCCTCACTCAGGATGATTAATCAGGGTGATTAATGGCTCAATGTTCATATGCAGGAATCTTGACTGGATAACTGTCATCTTATTTGTTGAAATTCATAACAAATAACACATTGAAACATTGATAAAGTTGTCTAGGAGAAGAGATCAATGCAAGTCAGCTTTACTTATTATGAACAACAATGCTTGATAATGTATTAGTTTCCATGTAATCTAGGCCTATATACTTCTTGGGGGTGAGGTAGGTGGGTAAGGAGGGGCTGGGCATATACACTTCAATATAAATATCCCATAGCATGAGAGAGTAACACTGTAATAGCAAGAAGTTATTATCATCCTGGGTTGAAGTCTTCTGTGCAAAGTCCATGAGCTATTTAGTAAGTATTAACTTTTATTCTATGCCTGAAAAGAGTAGTCTTATTTACTTACTATAAATAATTATCCTTTATTAACTTTCTAAATTATTTACTCACTTCAAAGATATATTGTACTATAAAAATGACATGCTTAATATTTAAAACAAAGTAGGGAGCATTAAGAAAATTTTCAAAAATTCCGTCCAACCCCACTGTAAAGATGACCCCTAACCTTTGAAGAAATATGAAAGCAACATAAAGGATGATAAGCTATCAAAAGAAATAAAAGGTTTCCTTGAATTAGAAAAGGCTAAAATGTATACTTCAAGGCAGGAGATTTGGAAGTTTTTCATTTCAGTGCATTTTATTGGTACAGTGGGCTATTATTTTGGGAGAATACAACTTGTTCTCATTAACAGTTTAAAACACATGAGTTTCAACTACAGCAAAGATTTTTAAGATTGTAGAATTATTATAACATACACCAGAATTATTAAGCTATGATTATAGAAGATCTTTTAAATTGTGTGTGTCAAAAACCAGAAATGTAAAATATGCAAAGAACTAAACCAGACTGAATAAAATAAATTTTAATGTATCAAAAAAGCATATCAAATAGCAAGAAATGAAAATATATGGCAATATATTATAAAGCTTTGCTTTTGTAGTATTCTTAATGTTCTAAATTGCTTATCTTTTTTTTTCTTGCTGGTTGTGGGGCTTGAACTCTGGGCCTGGGTGCTGTCCCTTGCTCTTCAGCTCAAGGCAAGTGCTCTACCACTTGAGCCACAGCACCACTTCCAGTTTTCTAGTTGTTTATTCTGAGATAAGAGTTTCATGGACTTTCCTATCTGGGCTGGTTTTGAACCACAGTCCTCTGATCTCAGTCTCCTGAGTAGCTAGGATTACAGGCCTGAGCTACCACTCAGCTTTTTTTTTTTTTTTTTTTTTTTTTGCTTCCTTCAGTTATTTTTCAAAGAGTTTCTCAAGTCTTTCTAGAGAGTGTCTTGCAGACCTATCTTGACCAGGCTGGCTTCAAAAATACCAAACTTGATCCTTCAGATCTCAGCCCTCTTTGGCTTACAGGAGCAAGCAACAGTGTCTAGCTGTCTCTTGTTAACTTTTTCCCAGGTTGGTCTCAAACTACTACCATCTTACTTCTAACTTCTGAGTAGCTAGAAATATAGGCTTGGGCCATGGTGCCCAATCAGCATTTGTTTCTCAGTAGTAGATTTAAATTGTTTTTAAGATGACAATAAGAGAATGTACAAAGAAAAATACTTCTTAAGAGGAGGAGAAAAATCTATTTTATTAGCAGTCAAAGTATCAATAAATTCTTACTTTACTAGCATTTAAGAATCCAGTGGACATATTTTATTAGTAGTCTACAAATGTATAGTAAAATCAGCTAATGGAAAGGATTTTGTTTTCAACAAGTCAATGGAACTCAGGTCTTCTATTTCTAGCTGACATGGTAGTTAGCCTGCATGTGATCTCTCAGGGACGAAATTAGTGCAGAAGTACTCCCATAAGATTCTGTATGAAAGTTTATGAAATTTTTTAGATTCAATTTGTAAGAAGCAATTATTTATATATTATGAAAAACAGTTGTAATTTTAATTGGGAAGTAAATGACCAACTGCTATTGAAAATATAATTTTTGAATATATTCTTGTGATGGATAGTTAAGCTTCAATCACAATGAAACTCAGATTATTATTAAAAAGAATTTTCCCATCTTTCTTAATACTAAATTCAGGCTCATTAAGATCTTTCATGATTTCTGCTTTAAGTCTTGGTGGAGCTGTCGTATTAAAGTTGCAGGTTTCTGTCAAAAAATCCCAAAGTAAGTCTCCATTTTCATTACCATCAACAAAGCAGTCACTTATGTCCATGGTGGACGGTAGATCATAACAATCATACTTAATTCCTAGGTTATCCAGTATCTGAGTGAGGTCATATGAAGTGACATACTGGCAGAGGTCATCCCGAGGTAGGCGGGATCCATACTTTTTCCACAATTTGTCCCAGCCACTGGTGCCTGTGAAATAAAACATAGTGCATATTTTCATTTATTCTTCCTTTCATAACTTCTTTTTACTTTCTTTTTGGAATTCATCAGTGAACAAAATAACATGCTCAGACATCAAGGTGGGGAAGATTAAATAAGTTCTACACACATCTGATGATGGCATGTGTAAATGAGAAACTAATCAGAATAAGAGATCGGGAGGTGAAGTAAAACAGGTTGAGTAACCGCTGCTTTACCTACAGTTGTCACAAAGAGTCTTTAATAAGGTGACATTAGAACAGAGACCTGTAAACCATGTAGACATGACAGGGAAGATTGTGTCAAACAAAGATAAAAGCAACTGCAAAGGAATTAAAGCAGGTGCATGTCTGTTGTGTTCAAGACCTTAACAGGAAGTCCATGCAATTGGAGTTGAGTGAGAAAGAAACAGAGGCTGAATGTGTGGCAGAGGGAGTACATGAAGGTGTAGATGAGGGAAAGGCTCTTATAAGACCAAACTGGAAACCATAGTGTTGTCTATTGGGCGTTTCTGGATTGACAGGTGTGTTTTATATCTGCATAGTCTTATGCAGTAGCCACTTATTATGTGGAACTGTAGGATACTTAAAATGTGGTTAGTGTGACTGAAGAACCTAATTTTAGGTTTATTCCATTTTAATCAATTTTAATTTTAACTTTAATAGCCAAGTGTAGCTTCTATTTTGCACAGCACTGTGCTAGGGTGACTTAATTTGCATTTTAATAAGGTGACTCTGGCTATGCAGCCTATAGGAACAGGACAGAGAGACTATTGCAATCAACTAGGTGATACGTGAAGGTAACTTAGAATGGTTAACTAGAAGGTGAAGACATGTGTTTGGAACATCTTTATGCATTATTCTTCTAATTCCAGTAGGTTTGCCAACAACTTGAATATAAAGTGTAAGCAAAATAAATAAACAAAACAAAACAAAAATACAGAGCCAGTAAACACTGGTGATTTTTGTTTGAGCACCTCAAAAGATAGAATTACTATTATTAGAAATGAGAAGAATGAAAGGCAAAAGCTTTTACGTTTATAAACAGACTTTGGTTTGGATATACAAACTTGAAAGAGCTACTGGATGTTCAGGAGGTGATATGAGGAACGGAGTTGTTTGTATACTATGAAGATTAGCAGGAAAGGCTCCAAGAATAAAGAATTGAAATGGAAAGAAATGGCACAATGAATAAATGGTGATTTATACCAAGCAGTTGGGTCGACTTTCATGTCCATAGTCTACTTACAAAAGGCTGCCTGCAACTGTCAGTAAAAGGTTGACTTCACATATTTTGTCCCATGCTTTAGAAGACAATTCAGCAATACCTGATGTGTTTAACTGAAAATTCAACCTAGCCTAGAGGCTAAAATGTATCATCTAAAATGTATTATCTGAAATGTAAATATCTAATGTTTACAGACTTCCCTGAGCTCAAGAGATCATCTAATAAAGGAAATAGTAAATATATAGCCTAGTTAATTAGACTGTTTCTAATATTTCAGAAGAAGATAGATAACTACAGGATCTGTTCTAGGAGAAGATGGCATTGGAATGTAGCAGAAAAATTTAAGTCCCAGTAAAATAAAAGAAGAATAAGCCTTGTGAGAACCTATTTAAAAATCTTCCATTCCAAAGGCAGCAGGTTGTCTTCCTAAATGAAAGGCTCTGTTATCATCATTATTATTTTTAACCTGGCAGAGGAAAAAGAACCAAGCACTAATTGCAGAAAATTTGCTGGTGTCAGTGCTGTGACTCAGTGCCATTTCTGAGCTGAGCAATATGCACTCCCTGACTGATGTATTACCATAATGTCTCTCAGTGAGCACACATATGGTGTAACTTTTACTTTCAACATGCCATAAACTAGAATCTTTTTCTCCACCACTCTATTAGAAACAACACACATTTACTTGCTACTTCCTTAGATAGGTAAAGACAAGACAAACAGAAAGCTTAATGAATTCCTTCTGCCTCATCTCCCTTACCTAAGAAAGTTTCCTTCTAACAACTCAACTAAAACCTGGTTACATAATTACAGACGTATGCCACTCACAATATTTTACTATTGTGCATTCTTCAATTAAAACAAAATACAAATCTTCCATTCTCTTCTTTTTCGCCTCCAAATTAACTCTCTCTCATTTTCATAGTCAGAAGCTTCTGTGAGTTATCACTAAGGATATTTACTACAGTGGGCTGGTATGTAATGCATGCTCAGAACATAGAGGAAAGGGCCTTTGTCTAAAGCAAGATGTACTCTAGTAGGCTAAGAAACATATCATTTAATTCTGATTTCAGTTTTCTTTCTTCTCCTAATTAGTTTTATTTATCTATACCATATTGTTTTGTCTGCATTTTCCCTTATGAAATATGCATGCACACATGTGTATATGCATGTGTCTTTTATTGAACCTTTTATTCCTGTATATTAAATCAATTTCCAAATATGTCAAAGTTTCCTTACTCCCTGATTTTTTACCCCTATAGTCAAGTCAATTTTTTTTTTTTTTTTTGGTTGGTCATGGGGCTTGAACTCTGGGCCTGGGCGCTGTCCCTCAGCTCTTCAGCTCAAGGCTAGCGCTCTACCACTTGAGCTACAGCGCCACTTCCGGTTTTCTAGTGGTTTATTGGAGATAGGAGTCTCACGGTCTTTTCTGCCCGGGCTGGCTTTGAACCACGATTCTCAGATCTCAGCCTCCTGAGTAGCTAGGATTACAGGCGTGAGCCACCGGCACCCGGCCTCAAGTCAATTTTAATGGACATAAATCTTCTTTTTTTGGTGGAGGGTGAATTTTCCCAAGTAACTATAGGGTTTTTTTGTTGTTGTTGTTGTTGGTTTGTTGTAGGGTCTGACCTCTGGGCCTAGGCGCTGTCCCTCAGTTCTGCAGCTCAAGGCTAACACTCTACCACTTGAGCCACAGTGCCATTTCCAGCTTTTTCTACTTATGTGGGCTGAAGAATCAAACCCACCGCCTCATGCATGCAAGACAAGCGCTCTACCACTGAGCCACCTTCCCAGCCCCCAAGAAATTATAATTTTGATATCACAGGTAGAAATGAAAAAAGTATTCAGCTCAATTAAAAACATTTTGAGTATCTTCTACGTGCCTAAGTCTTTACAAAAGTCTGAGAACACTTTGAGAAGAAAAGACTGATTCTCTAGGGACCTTTATAATCTTCCTGGATATCTCTGATGGGCATGACACAAGAAATACTTACAGTGAAGGAGTGATGAGAAGGGAAACAGACCAATCAAGTTACTAAAGACAAAATCATCAGTCATCTACTCTGTATTTAAATCAAGTGTGAGCAAGTATAACTTATGTAACTCTCTGGCAACATGTAGTTGGTCACTAAGTTGAGGATGATGATCAACATATTTGACAGTTTTGTTTTTCTTTTTGTGTTAGACTTGCCTGTTTATCTGCAAAGCAAACTATATTGAGAAAGTTGAGGTCCTTTATATATTTTGGCTTTATATTGAATTAATTTGCTTAACATTTCTGATGAACAAAAACAAAAACAAACACAAACCAGAGACTTCAGCCTTAGGAAAGACACAAGTAGAAAATTCAACATAAAGTATCTAATAATATCTTTTCCTTTGGCTCAGTGGTTGTACTTTGCAGAAAAAATGGATGTGTTATTTCTTCTACAGTGGTTAAAACTTGAAATAGTGACTACTGTAAAAGAAAGAGACTTCCAAGTTCCAGTTTAATAATCTGACCACTATTTGCTGAATTATTATATGTAGGAGCATTATCTATTAATGATTAATGTGTTTTTATTAGAATAGCAGTCCCCCATTCTGTTATCAGTAATATAAAATGTGAAATATCAATTGAGAAAGTGATTAAAATGTTTTTACCATATAGAAATACATCAAATAATTTTATACTTAAACTACTTTTCACAGAAGGCTGACTTCTGACTCTTCACTCTCTTTTGATACCTTCCCATAAGTTCTTGTTGACATAGTACATACTTATCATATATTAGGAAAAATATGACAGTATAATTATCCAGAAATAGCTTTAATTTGGAGATCAAATTAACACAGGTAGGTATTCTTCTTCCATGTGTCATCATATCTTTCATGGGTTTATTTTGATTTATCTTGATGCCAATTGCATTGAATTTTATTAATTCCTCATTATATACCCAGTTAATGTATCTACAAAGGCACTAAGTACATCCTCAGATTCATGTAGAATATTTATGTCATTTCCTATATCTTAGATGAATACATGTAATAAATACTGCCTAGTAGTACTCCAACATTACACTTTTGCAAACTAATAGAGAATAGATCTGCTCTTGATGTCAAATATGACCTGATCTCAAACTCTATGACTTCTGGATAAATCTCTGCCTATAATATCTCTTCTGATCCTGGCAAACAGACTTTCTCCAGTGTTGGTAACTAAGTTTACTCTTGAATTCCTAAATGTAGTACAGAATGTTTCAGAACAGTGTCCTAATTTAACCAGAGGTTGGTAGGATCAAGTTCACATCCTTCTAAATGGGAAATCAGAATTTCCTTTCATAAATGAGTACTTTGAACTGACTAGACGTAAAAATAGTACATCAAAATATTCCCTTGGTGAACATTGCCAAGCTTACACATAAATTTACGCCTAAGATTACAAGGAACAACCATATTTGCCATGTTTAAAGCTATTCCTTGTATCTGAAAGGAAATTAATTTTGTGACATATGGTTTTTTAGCATGGAGTCTGCTGTATCCTAAGAAAAATAGGCACCGCTGTGTATTTAGAATCAATCCATGGACATTGGGTGGGTAATTTGTAAGAACTGCTGCCTCAGAGAAGTACTGTATTGAATGGATGACCTCAACAATTTTAGTGTTTTATTTTCTGACAACATTTACTTATATTCCTGCTGTGGTGCTTATTATAACTTTGGAAGTAACATAATATGATGAAATGCCTTCTTTGTAAACAAAACAATACCACAAAACAAATCGAATAGACTATTTTGAAAGGTATTTGAGAAAAGCTATGATGAGCAATGCATCTAATTTCTCCACAAATGCAAATTAACCAAAAATTGTGGGCATCCCACATATTTTAACCTTTATTAATTAATATGACAGAGGGAAAAAAGTAAGGTTGGTGGCAAAAGAAAGGCAAATATAAAATTAAGTATTTGTAGTCTCATTTTAAAACAATAGCTTGAATTTTCTGGGTTACATAAAAAAAGAGTTCATATATACAGGGCAAGGAATTTTTTATTTTTTTAAATTGTTTTGGTCATGGGTCTTGAACTCTGGGCCTGGGCACTGTCCCTGAACCCTTAAGCTCAAGGCTAGTGCTCTACTAATTGAGCCACAGCGCCACTTCTGGGCTTCTGGTGTTTAATTGGAGATAACAGTTTCATGGACTTTCCTGCCTGGACTGGCTTAGAACTGAGATCCTTAAATCTCAGCCTCCTGAGTGGCTAGAATTACAGGTGTGAGCCACCAGTACTCAGCAGGCAAGGAATTTTTTAAGAGAACTAAGTAAATAGATATTGAATTCCATTACGCTCTTAAATTGAGAGGTGTTGTGAATGGCATTTCTACTAGTGTAAAAATTAACTGAATATAATCAGAAACCAAAGCAACAATTTCATAACAAAAATAAAAGATATGAATATTCTAAAAAACAAACAAACAAACAACAAAAGTACATGAATGCATGCATACACATACAGGTGCCACTTTAAAATTCATTCTGAATGGAGACAGCTTACCTGACACAACAATAATGAGAATCTTGGCTTTGGTAGCTAAGATACTATGGAAGAATTTTAGAGTAGCGGGGATGTCTTTTACATAATACAGCATCTAAATAAGAGGGTAAAGAGAAATTAGGTATTTTCCAATGTTGGAGTCTTTGTTGCCTGGACTAGATACACTGGAAGATTTTATTTTCAAATCGAATGTATTTTTAGTTAACAACAACTTAAAAATTTTGAAGACTAAAGATTTTTTTTGGAGGTAGAACATTAATGTAAGAAAATATTTGAGGAAAAGGGAAAACTACAGCATTTTGCTCAAAGGTAACCAAATACCTTCAGACATATTTTTTTGGTTTCCATAGCACACATTTGTAGCTGAAAACATTGACTCCATTCTACATAGTGACAATGATCTTCTGCCTATTCTATGCTTTATGAATTGTAGTACTCTGAGGGGAAAGTGTTATGGGCACTATAAGAATATGTCCATTTCACAGAACATTGTTTTAAAAATTAAGTCTTTACACTGGCTTCTCCACATGCTTGAGTATGCTTTTTTTCTCCTTAAATCACAGAAAAAGTAACAAGGTATTACTACTGAGAGATTCTCTAGTACATGGGACTAGGAGAGACATAGGTCTACCCAGTTGGTCACAGGATGTTAAAGGGTCAGCCGATTGACAAGAAGTTTCTTCTTATCAAAATATGTCTGTGTGGGAGTGGTACTGGAGATTGAATTCAAAGCCTCATTCTTGTTAGACATGTATTGAACTACTTGAGTCACACTTTCAGTCTTGTTGCTTTGAGTTTGTTTTCCAGATAACATTTCATGCTAACTTGGACTGGTTGTGGCACCATGGAAATAAAATCATATGGAATGAGTAGTTGAAGAATGACAAAATCTTTCCTGTTTGTCGTATGCTCATTAGGTAGGCCATACTTTAAAGGCAAAAGTGAGAAGATTCCCAAAAAAAATCTGAGACATTAGACTTTGGAGATTGTTAGAATCATTGGAAAACTAATTAGGATTTGTTATTGTTCTCCTTTCCTCAAGTCAATACATGGACTACTGTAGAAAACCAGCCCATCACTGTAAAGGTTATGAGTGGGGAGCAAAAAAGTAGGCTATTTTGATGTTAAGAAAGAATCTTAGTGCTATCAACACCTTTATAGATAATGCTCACTTATAACATGGGAAATCAAGTTTTCATTTAAAAATGGGAAAATAATTCATTCTTCATAGATATCTCTGGAAAGAATCTCCTTTCTGATAATATGTTATAGTAGATAGTTCTTACCTGAATCATGTGAATAAAGTCCCACTTTTGGAGTTCTTTTCTCTCCACCACTCTATTTTGATATTCAGATGATGTCTCCTTATGCCAAGCAAACTTTATGTTCTCCAGGTTTGATTTCTTAGCTACAAGCTCTAAAATACAGAGAAGAGGTGATGCACCATCAATTTTAATTGCAAATGTGGAACCCATTTCCATTTAGAATTTTAATGTAATCAATGCTACATACATAACAGATAGAAGCCACATTTTTTTCAGTTTTATGTAGCTCTGAGAAAACAAAAGGTTCATTTTTATTTTTTTCCATTGAAATGAAATTGGAGGCAACAGAAAAGAGTAATTTTGAGAACTTGGTCACACAGGGGTTATAGTATCTTAATGTTAATGAGAATCAACTGGTAAATTTTATTGATAGAAAATTGTTGTGAAACAGGTATAGAATTGTGTGAGCCATGAGTAAGCAAAAATGATGGCACACAGGCTTTCTTTGGTGTAACACCTATTTTTGCATGGAATAGAAGCCAAAAACTTACTATCCTACTTTCTAATTTTGTGTCTCTGTCATTTATGTTTACAGGGAGGGAAAGCATACAGACCAGGGACTATAAAAGCCCCTTCATTACACCCCATTTGGTGTGTAATGACTTAGACACATAGACAAGGGTATGATGATACAGGCTGCCCATGGCTTGTCATACCTGTATTAATAGTTTTGTATGGGCCATGATAATGTTATCATGTTTCTTGGCCTTTGGCAGAAAAAAGTCCCCTACTTCTTCATTACATTTTTAAATGGTCAGGAAAAAATAAAAAGAATAACATTTCATAATTTATAAAATAATATAAATTCAAATATCAATATTTATAAATAAAGTTTTATTAGAACACATTCATGCTCAATCTATAACTGCCTTTGGGCCACAATGGCAGAATTCATTATCTGGCACAGAGATGTGACTTTCTTTTTCTTTTTTTTCTGAATTTGCATTTAATTTCATTTATTTTTAATAATTTCTTTTATTGTAAAAACACTGTACAGAGGGGTTACAGTTACATGAGCAAGGTAATGAGTACAATTTTTATCAAGCATTATTGCCTCCTCCTTTGTTTTTCCCCTACCATCCCTTCCCTCCCACCTCCTCAACTACATTCCCCCCCCCACCTAAATTGTAAAGTTCCTTTTTCAACATACTATCTTGTACATCTTATTGTTGAAATGGTACAATCTGTATCCCGATTTAAACAAACAAAATGTTTCTTTTATCTTTCTTTTTTTTTCAGTCATGGGGCTTGAACTCTGGGCCTGGACGCTGTCCCTGAGCTCTTCAGCTCAAGGCGAGCGCTCTGCCACTTGAGCCACTGCACCACTTATGGTTTTCTGGTGGTTAATTGGACATAAGGGTGTCACAGACTTTCCGGCCTGGGCTGGAAACTGAGATCCTCAGATCTCAGTTTCCTGAGTAGCTTGGATTACAGTCATGAGCCACAGGCGCCTGGTAGGTATAACTTTCTAAGTCTAAATTATTTACTATTTGGCCTCTTCTAAAAGAAGTTTCCCAACTCCTGTTATAACCCATTAAGGATAAACCCTTTAGGGGTAGGGACTCTTTTTTAAATATTTCTGAATGAATGAATAGTTCTGTCTTTAAGAATAAACATTAATGATGACAGAGGCATGAATAGGGAATCAATAAAGAAATCTAATTATTCACGGTTAAGAGTCTGAAGTGTTCAGTCATGCCTGCCAAGAATTAATTAGGTTCTTCTTCCTGTAGGCTTACAAAGAGCATAATGCGGCCAGAGTACTATTAATCACTCCAGGCAAAAATGAGAAGTGGAAAGCCTTTGGCAACAGGGCTGGCATACAGCATCACGGGTTACAGGTACCTTTGTACTTGGCAATTTGGTCAGAGCTGGGCTCAACAACTTCATTGTTGATACAAACTCCTGGGTGTTGAGCCTGGACTTTGGATAGAATTTGAAGATCAATTTCACCTAGAAGATAAATATATGAAATGGGTTATATCATTCCAGAAAGAAGTGATTAAGAGCCATTTGAGTTGATTTATTACCTTTCTTACCTTCACATCAACTAGCATAAAAAATAATGTTCAATTATTTTACTGTCACTATGCCTGTGAGCCACAGAAGGAAGACTTCAAGTAGGAATAATAGTATGCTTTTGAGGAGGTCTATCCATTCTATTCATTTATATAATCATTAGTATCATTATGTTTCATTAAGTCAAAGATATCATTAACTGTAGTAAGTAAACCCTCTTTATTTTTGTTTTACTGAATGAGAAAATCCCTGTCAAATATAATTTTAAGATTCTACCAACTGAACAATACTACTTAAGTCAGACATATTAAAATGGAAAAAATATACTTTAGAACTAACAAAGTAATCGAATCTGGACTATATACATTATGATAGATGTAAATATTGATACATATGTTTTAAAAACATATACATGTTAGGTATAAACACTAGATACAAAAGTGTGTCAAATAGATGCTTCAATAAAACCAAGTGAAGGCTAGAGGCATGACCTAAATTCAGACACCAATGAATAATAAAATCAAGTGGAAGAAGCATAAACATGGACACACCCTGAATGTTGTGGACTAAGGTAGCATGAGGAAGTTTTGGAGAACATAAAGGAGGTCAGAGCAATGCAAAGTGCACAGAAGGACTTCACTTTAAAGGGCTGACTTGCTAAATGAGGAGAAAAGAGTTTAGGCAAGTAAAGAATTATAGGTAAAGAGGGTAGGATGACAGAGGCACAAAGTCCGAAAGCAGGAGAACATAGAGAAATTCTAGCAATTTAGAGTCCTTAGAATACTACTAAAAAGACAGGAGCTTTAAGACAGAAGAGATCCCTGAAGTAAATAGAGAGGAATTATGCATAGAATAGATACCTATTAATTGATTCATTTGTCAGCTATTAATTGGCCGTTTACATGTGCCAGGTACTACACTAGACTCTAGCAAAGGAAAAGAGCAGATAGACCTCCCCTGATGAGAACTCAGCCTCTATGCCTTGTGTGAGAGGGGTGTTAAGTTAGATAATCGTGAGCACCAAGCCTGTCTTCTTCATCATCTATCTCTCCAAACTTCATTTTGATCCTCAGAAAAATAACAAAAAAGTAATAGTTAATTTATTAGGTGAGAGGATTTAAAGACATAATGCATGGAAAGCAGAGTGCAAGATTGACCTGGCCATGAACAAATGTTAGCTGTTAATTATTTCTATTATTGTCATTGAGTCTCTTTTCCTAAAATATTTCCTTCTCTCCCTATTGCTGATGGCTCCAAATTAGGTTTCTCACTTTCACACGATTAGGTTATGATGTTGACCTTCATTAAAATGGAAATATCTTTTGGCAAGATTAGCATATGAAAATTAGGAGTCTTTAGTATTTTGGCATACATGACATTAACAGAACCTTTTCAAGGTTAGACATGACAGGCAGCTAAAGCATGGGTGATAAGATTGGAGCATCTAGATGAAGGATGAGAATGATAAGGAACAGAAGCTGCTAGGCTTGAAACAGAGGTCAGTTAATGGCAGAATGAAATCCCAAAGTTAGTTAGGGACCCCAACTCTGGAGATGGTGTATGTGAAATAGAAGGAAGGTAAGTAGAAAGGGAGCTGAAATGCGGGAAGAAAGAAGCCTAGTTTTCTCCAAAACTGGCCCAACCTAAATAAAACCTTTTACTTCTTCTCTAAAAACCATAACTATCATTTATTGGCCATTTGCTATTTGGGCTAGAAATTACCTGGAATACCTATATTACTCCCAATCAGATTAAATGATTTCAGTATTTTGATACTCAGGCTATTAATAATACACCTGAAGTCCTATCTGCCTAAATCTAAAATAATTGTTCTAACAGCCTTACAAAAGGAAATAGGAAAATACCAAATACCAAAAGAACATAAAAAAGTATCTCTATTGCAGCTATATTTGAAAAGTAAATAATGAAGGTACAGACTAAAAAGAAAAGCTTCTTGAAAGAGCTATTAAGAAAGAGCTATATGGGTTAATGAGAGAGTCTTTCCTTTGCCCCAGAGGACTAGAAGATGAAAGTTTTGCTCTTGCATCTATCAGCCACTATCTTTTAATTTAAAAAAAATCATCAACTATGGAGATCTCAAGTTCAATTTTGAAAGGAACAACTGAAATGCCACAATTCCTCCCCACATGCCAGGATTTAATTAGTTCCTCTCCTAAGATAAACCCAGAAATTTCAGAACTGCTCAAAGAGCAAATCGATCAAATCTACTCAGCCCCAGGTACATCCTGGACTAGATAGTCCCTCCTTCTGGGTCATTGACAGAGGACCTTATTAGAACTGCCATTGTAATATTGCAGGCCAGGTTAGGCATCAGCCACTGGAGTGTAAGCACAGGGATCCAAACCCTGGGTGATTATAATGTGTTCATGAAAGCCGATGAATTTTACTAAATGTGCAACTTTGCTAAGATGTTAATGAGGAGATTATGTCTGTAGGAGAGGGATGCATGGGTCTATCTGTACATTCCTTTCAATTTTATTGAGAATTTAGAATTGCTTTAAAGAATTGCTTTTGTTTGAAACAAACAAAAATATTTGTACAAATTCCTTCCCAGCAGTAAAGATCACAAAATAATTCAGATCTTTCTCATTGTATTACACATAGCCTAGTTTAACCACTCAGCATTTAGTTATGTTTTCTTGAATCTCTCCCCTGTGCTGTTAATTATGTTTTCAATCATTCTAGCTCTATTCCTTCCTTTCGTCTACTTCCCTGGTCATTAGTTTTCCTGCTAAATGATTCTTCCCTTTTTCTTTTCTGTTCCATCCTTTCTGTTCTGTGTGGAATAGTCTCCCTCACCACCATTCCCTTCATCTGACTAGCACCTTTGAGTCTTCAGTGCTATGCTATCATCATGACTAGTTATTAGCCTTTCCTACAGAGCCTAGAACTTGGCTCAGAATCCTCCAGAATCCTGCCTGCAGTTGGCAGCAGAAAAAAAAACTCTACTTATCTTCCCTAATCTAAATTATTGTTTTCCTTCACTTACTTGACTCACTAGCAAAGGCTTGATTCCAGTTAATTTGTTAAAAAGAATCAAGGATTCCAACTACTAGGGTGAACAACTGAGCTGGGGTAATCATAAATCACTGAAAATTTCAGGCCCTAATTCTGTGATCCAGGAGTAAAAGGGATCCAAGAAAAGAGGAGGTGGGGAAGTGACCATTTATTTTTCTCCCATCTGAATACTTCTGAACAGGAGCCATAAGGCATAATGTGCTTCAATCAATCAATCATTAAACCCGTCTAGAGAGCACACAAGCCAAAAGAATGTGCCAAAAGTAAACTGAACTTGATCATCAAATAGTTCAGACATTCTCAAAACATTCAGGAGTGAATGTAAGATATGAGAAGCCAGGAGTCTTCTCTAAGGAAAAGTGGAACATGTCCAATTAGTAGTCTCTTTTCACATATGAATGGCCAATAGGCGTTACTTGATCCTAACCCCAACACTTCTCTCTCAACTACTTATTTTTTATATTCTAACCCTTGACACACATAACCAACAGCTGTTTTTATTAACTGAAGACATATTAAGAAAGCAGTTTCATTCCTTAAAAAAAGCACCAAATTTGTGTTATCAAGGGAGAAATAATAATGATTAAGTAGCTCTATTCAAACACATTGTCCTTTTCTTTATTCTTTTCTTTCTTCCCCTTTTGTGCATAGCAAAGAAAATTAACAATTTTTGAAGTCTGGGAATGTTATAATGATATAACAACTGATTTTCTATTTGATCAATGTGGAGAATTTGAGCAGTTAGGCAAATCCAAATATCTGTCAGCCTGAATCCATGGGTTATAAAGCACTTCTTTTGAATGCTCAGTGCTCAGATGATATTCATTGAATTACAATCAGTAGTTATCTCAGAGTGGTAGAATTTTAGGTTATTTTAAATTTGATTTTTCTTATCTACAATTTAAAAGGTTTCTACAAAAGTTTAGTTAGATTAATTATTTTAAAGTGCTTGTTTACTTCTCAATTAAAAATGCTTTATAGATGGTTAGTTGTATGTGTTGACTCAAATGTGCCATGAGGTACCCAGGATATCTGGATGCTTCTGGATGACGTTGACAATCTGGACCAGTCTATTAAGTAAAGCAGATTGTCCTCTCCAAATAGGGTGGGCTTCATCTAATCAGGTGAAGGTTAATATAAAATTGAGCTGGGGCATTGGTCTTTTGTTGACCCGAAACTCAGGTTGAAATTTCAGGATCTTCTTGGATCTGGAGACTACCAGATCTTTGTGATTGGAATTTATTACCAGCTTCACTGAATCGCCAGCCATGATTGCTCAATTTCTGTGATCACATGAAACAATTTGTTATTTTATATTTGGGTGGTTTTGTTTCTCTGGAGAATCCTTTTCTGCCTTATCATCATTCAGCCAAACAATAACCAAAGAACTCTGTGTCAATGAGTTGTTGTTATAATTGTGTGTGTGTGTGTGTGTGTGTGCGCATGTGTGTCGGTTATGGGACTTGAACTGTGGGCCTGGGCACTGTCCTTCAGATCTTCAGCTCAAGTTGAGTGCTCTGCTGCTTGAGCCACAACACCACTTCTGATTTTCTGGTGGTTAATTGGACATAAGCATCTCATGGCATTTCCTGCTTGGGCTGGCTTTGAACCATGATCCTCAGATCTCAGCCTTCTAAGTATTTAGGATTACAGGTGTGAGCCACTGGCACCCAGCTTGGTTATAACTTTATGTGCAAATAACTATCCCAAGGCATGTAAAATGTAATGTTGAACAGATTATATCAGTGCTAATTCAATATTTAGCTTAGTGTCATTATTGTCCTCTCATGTATTGAATGCATATTTGATTTTATAAAAACACAAACATGTAGTTCTAAGGTATGATTGCAATACAACAAATATATGAAAGATGTATCTATACTAAGATTAGACAT